AGTGGCAAATGCATCCGTTCAGTAGAGCTGCCTCTTATTTATTTATCTATATACTTATTTTTTAAAATTTACTTATTTTTAAAATTTATTTTTCAATAACAGTTGACATACAATATTATATTAGTTACACGTGTACAACATAGTGATTAGGCATTTATATTGCTTACAAAGTGATCACCTCGTAAGTCTAGTACACATCTGACACCAGACATAATGATTATAATACTATTGACTCTGTTCTCTACGCTGTAATTGTACATCCCTGTGACTATGTTTCTAACTGGCAAGTTGTACTTCTTAATCCCTTTCACCTTTTTCACCCAGTTCCCCCAAACTCCCTCTCACCTGGTGATGATCAGTCTGTTCTATTTATTAGTTTGTTTCTGCTTTGTTCACTTATTTTGTGTTTTTTTTAGCCTCAACATGTAAGTGAAGTCATGTGGAATATGTCTTTCTATATTTGACTTATTTCATTTGGCATAATACCCTCTAGGTCCATCCATGTTTTTACAAAAGGCAGGATTTCATTGTTGTTGTTTTTTATAGCTAAGTGTACACCATTGTTTATATTTACCACTTCTTATTCCATTTGTCTATCAGTGGACACTTAGGTGGCACATTGGCTACTGTCAATAAATGCTGCAATGCACATAGGGATGCATGTATCTTTTCTTATTAGTGTTTTAAGTATCTTTAGTTAAGTACCCAGAAGTAGAATCATGGTAGTTCTATTTTTCATATTTTGAGGAACCTCCATACTGTTCTTCACAGTGGCTGCACCAATTTACAATTTCATTAATAGTACACAAGGGTTCTCTTTTCTCCACATTCCCATCACCACTTGTTTGTTGATTAATGACAGCCATTCTGACAGGTGTGAGGTGGCACCAGATTATGGTTTTGATTTGAATTTCCTTGATGATTAGCGATGTTGAGCATCTTTTCTTATTTCTGTTGGTCATCTGTATGTCTTCTTTGGAGAATGTGTACTCATGTCTAATAGAGCTACCTCTTAACATCTAAATATTTTCAGGTTTGGTTTTGGTTAAACATCCTTGTGTGAATTACTTATTATTACCACCATCACCTCATTTTCATCTATCTCCCCTTTCAAAAGAAAGAGTCCACTTATTATTTATTTGATAGATGAAAACTCAGACTTCTGAAAGCTAGGCAACTTTCCTAGGGTCATACAGTTAATGACCTGCTGAGCCAAGGCATTAGAATCATATAAAATGATGCCAGACCAAGGATATTTCTAACATTGCTCAAAAAGCTGGCAGTTGAAGGGAGCTCAGAGGTAATTTAACCATCCCACTTTATTGATGAGGGAATTTCCTAGCTGAAGACCTATATATTTGCTTAGTGCTTAATATATCCATCATCAGCATCAGTGTCAGTTAAATATTTGATCATGTTATCCTGATCCACTATTTTAAAGTATATATAAAATTTGTTAATTTACACTTAGTAATTTACAAGCTTCACTCAACATGCTGATAGACATCACACTCAAATTTTTGGAAAAGTGGTTACATATATTCATCTCATTAGAATGATACTGAGATTTACTTTTCCTGTGAAAATGCTAGACTATTGAGTTGTACTTAAAATGTGTGACGTGTATAATATGTGAATTATACTCAATAAAGATGCTACCAGAAAAAAAAAACAAATAAGCTAGGCTCTAAATACTGTAGTAAAGTCCAAAAGAGGAAAATTGTCTCATTTTATGAGGTTCACTTATATGCAAAAAAAGTATGTGAGGAAATGAGAAGTAACTGATGAGCGGTTTATATTTGGTAAATTGCAAGAAGGATACCATTCTAGAGAAAATGGTTTGTATGGAAGAATGAATTATGCATTTTTATTTTTCCGATGAAATTTGTAGAATAGAATTTGGTGGGAAGCACATACGTTGCTCCTTCTTGCTTGAAAGCAAACAACAATAAAGTTGTTTCTTTTTGTTTCTGCTTTTAGATATGATGGCGAGACAGGTATGGGATATAATGGAGTAGCAATGACCATGAGGACAAGTGGAAGAGTGAAAAACTTTCAGGGTGGAAGAACATGAATAAATGACGGGGAGAGGGGAGAGAAGACGATAGAGCTAGATTTAAAGAAAGCAAAGCAAATAGAGAAAGAAAACTAGGGGCATGTGAGAGACAATAAATTAAGGAGAAATATAACCAATCAGACAGAAAAATAAATTAGTAAAATCCAGGCTTATTGATGAATGGAAGGGAAGAGAATGAGAAATGAAGGAAAATAAGGAAGGGAGCATGAGGAAATGTTTCAAAGAAATGGGGAAATACACCCCTGGGGTCTCTTCCGAACACCTGGGTCCAGGAGCCGGTCTGCCCACTGTCTGCGCCCCAGGCACGCACAGCTGGGCTGCAGATGTTTGTGTCCCCCGCCCACGCAGGAGAAATCCACCTCCCTCAGCTTTTCTATTCCTCTCCTGTGTCGTTATTGCCAGAGCCCGATGAATCTCTGAATTAGCTTAAATGGCAAGGAAGATGAGGGATGTAGTGGCAAGGATTTTGATTTCTGTTTCAGTCTCTTCTGACAACACTTTTTTCACTGATTTGGTAAAAATCGTATATTTTATGCTGAAGAGGGCTGTAATTTGTCAGTTTTTTTCAGAAACACTTTCTTTTACCTAGAGAAATGCTCTCGACGCCAACCACCACTTCAGATTCACAGGTACAGAAGGCACATAGAGGGGCAGCGGAGATGGAAGGACAAGGGACCAAGCGTGTCAGGTCGCGTGGAATCCCAGGGGCTGGATAAGAGCGAAAGCAACCGGAGGGAGACAGGGGAGAGCGGGAGAGCCTACGACCGTCAATCACGAGGCCGTCAAAAGCCCTCTGGTGTCTTAGGGTTATGGTTAAACACAAACACATCGTGAAATAACCCAGTCTGAGCGAGCTTGTAGAATTCACAAGAAGAGGGTTCTTGACTTACATTCCTGAGTGTATTTTTACAGGCAGATGATGGAATGAATTTTGAGATAAATGGATGCCTCAATGGAGAAAAGAAGTGAGCAGAGAAGCTAATTGGAGAACCCACAAAATATTTTATTTCTATTAAAATTTTGTGTAGGGCTCCCCTCACCCCCTCTCTCTTTTATGTGTGTGGTGTTTGTATTTATATCTGCTGATATGTTGAGGTATAACTTTTATAAATTCCCCTTACTGCTAATAGTAGCACATGGAAACATATATTAACTGCTCTATTCAGTAGATGCTTCTAATGTTTCCTAAAAGATGTATCTTTAACAATGCACTGTACAGACTTACTGTTCTTTTCTTTTTTATGTATTTCCCCTTCTTTCTTTCTCTCACCCTTCTCTCTTCCTGTCTTTCTTTTCTAAGTACTGACTTACTAACATCTTTTGTCAAAGATTTCCCACCTCTTTGCACCCCATGTTCCACAGAACTTACTTAAAACAACTGCGCTGTTTAGTTAAATAGCATGGGGAACATTGGTATATATTACTTTGTATTTTTCTATAGATCATCAGTTTTCAAACTTGAAGAACATTCATACCCATAACAAAATACATTTTGAGTATGTACCCAAAATATATGCACATTTATTTATAAATTAAATATATACCATTATACTAATATATATTATAAATATTAAAAGCAAAAGAATAAAATTAAATGCAGTAATATGCATTTTTGTGATTAATTATATATATGTAATAAATATTTATAAAATATTATTTATTTCCACCCATCAATGGATCATCATGTGCCCCTTCTGGAAATAGCTCCCACTAATAAACAGACTGAGCCTTAAATGTGAATTTTCCCCACAATAACTAGTGTTCTATTTTTAAGACAATGTTCAACTTCTAATTCTAAGCTCTGTAAAGGAGTGATTTTAGACTAGAAATATTATTTTTAGTTACTCAAGTACACAAAAATAATTATTAAAGCTGTGTAAATAATTTATGTGTTTAAACTAAATAGTACACACCTGCATTCTTCTACTACTTGTCAATCGTAATGAAAAAAATTTTATTCTAAACTTAAGTAATGTAACCACAGTCATCTTAGTTTTCTTTTCTTTGAAAGGAATGGATTAGGCCATAAGATCTGTACTGTTACTTCCTCTTCTATTCTATGATTTTTCAGTTGAGATAATTAATTTAAAAAATTTATACTGGCAAATGTTGTATTATAGTATATTGTTCGTCGAAAAGCTCTCCCTTGGATGTCATAATTGGATCAGAGAAAGAAGGAGATTGGGAGTACAGATAAGTAATTGAGATTCAGATAGTGTCCATTAAGCTGCATGAACAAGTCATGGAGTGACGACATGGTGGTACTTAACCAGAGATACGGCGAGGCTACTACCTCTAAGTTAGGTGAAAAGTAAAGTAGTTGGGATCCTAATGACCAGTTTGGAGTCCGGGTAATACAACGACACCAGACCAGAACAGGGCAATAAGAGAATTAATAAGATAACAGAGCAAAGCAGAGAGTTAACTGGCAGAAACTGGAATTCAAAGTAACTGAAGAGAGGAAATATTTAGTAAAAATTTTTGGTCAGTGAATGAGAAGAAAGGGGGTATAATTTAAAGAAACTAGGTAAGCCTCAAGCACAGGACAACCACAAAAGAGCAATGATCTTGAAAATTGGAGCTATGTTGTATATCATTCAGAAGCTTCTCATATGACTCAAAAAAAATAGGAATCCTGAGGTTTAGAATGCCAGACTCTTAAAGTGGAGGGAAGTTCTATAGAAGCACATGGTTGAACGGGAATCAGAGTATGGCTTTGAGAACAGCATTTTTGTTTATTTTTTTGCTTGCTTTAAATCTGGAAAAAAGAGAGGTTCAGAGTTTACCCAGGATATTGGAGAGGGTTGAGACGTTGTTTTTAGTTGAAATGATGACTGTGTAAAATATTTTACTTGAGAAAAACTAGGATCTAGATGGAAAAAAATCATCATAATAAATTCTGCTTCTTGATATACTGCAGGCAGAGGAGATGGCGAGTGAGAACAGCACAGTGGTGAAAGAGTTCATTCTCCTTGGTCTCACCCAGTCTCGGAATATTCAGCTCCTGGTCTTTGGGCTCATCTTAGTTTTCTACCTCATCATCCTCCCGGGGAATTTCCTCATCATTCTCACCATCAGGTCAGACCCTGGCCTCACAGCCCCCCTCTACTTCTTTCTGGGCAACTTGGCCTTCCTGGATGCATCCTACTCCTTCATCGTGGCTCCCAGGATGCTGGTGGACTTCCTCTCTGAGCAGAAGGTCATCTCCTACAGGAACTGCATCGCTCAGCTCTTTTTCTTGCACTTCCTCGGAGGAGGGGAGGGGTTACTCCTTGTGGTGATGGCCTTTGACCGCTACATGGCCATCTGCCGTCCTTTACACTATTCAACTCTCATGAGCCCCAGAGCCTGCTATGCCTTGCTGCTGGCCCTGTGGCTTGGAGGCTTTGTCCACTCCATCATCCAGGTGGCCCTCATCCTCCGCTTGCCCTTCTGTGGCCCCAACCAGCTGGACAACTTCTTCTGTGATGTGCCGCAGGTCATCAAGCTGGCCTGCACAGACACCTTCGTGGTAGAGCTCCTGATGGTCTTCAACAGTGGCCTGCTCACGCTCCTGTGCTTCCTGGGGCTTCTGGTCTCCTACGCAGTCATCATCTGTCGTGTGCAACGGTCATGCTCTGAGGGGAAGAACAAGGCCCTGTCCACATGTACCACTCATCTCATTATTATAATTATCATGTTTGGACCTGCCATCTTCATCTACACTCGCCCCTTTAGGGCCTTGCCAGTGGACAAGGTGGTTTCTCTCTTCCACACTGTGATATTTCCTTTGTTGAATCCTGTGATTTATACTCTTCGAAACCAGGAAATAAAAGCTTCCATGAGGAGGTTGCTTAATAAGCACCTAGCCTGATAAAAGGGTGGAGGGGAAAAATATGAACATCAAGACTGGAGAATTTCATCTGAAATTAATTTATACATTCCCAAAACACTGCATTAACTGAGCATCTCCCATTGTCAGGACTATTCTAGGCACTGGGAGAGATTTAATAATGTGACAGGTAAAGTCACTGCTCTCCTGAAGTTGCATCTGGTGAAAATAGACAGCCATTAAGATAGCAAATAAGTAGCATGGTTTCAGGAAGAGATATGATTCTGAAATTTTTTTTAAAAAAGCAAAATGATAGATAGTGTGGGGTGGGAAGGGGTAATCAGTTTACTTTCAGTTATCAAGATAGGTCTTCTTGAGGAGGTAATATTTTTGCTGATATCTGAAAAAGCTCACTGTGCAAACATTAGCAGGCAGAGCATTCTAGGCAGAGGAAACAAGTAGTGCAACAATCTGAAGATAGCAGTGAATTAGGTAAATTTGAGAAACACAACAAAGTTCAAATTGACTGGGATATAATAAGTGAATGTGAAAACAATTAAAGTTAAAGTTAGAGATACTGGTAGTGTATCAAGTAACACATTATCCGATTTATCTGTGGAATCTAATGAACAAAATAAACTGAAGAACAAAATAGATCCAGAGACATGGAAGCATGGAACAGACTGTGGAATCTCAGAGGGAAGGAGGGAGAGGGTGGGGAGATTAACCAAACAATTTATATGCATATATGCGTAACCCACGGACACAGACAATAGTGTGGTGAAGGCCTGGGGGTTGGGCTGAGCAGGGTGGAAGGGGTCAATTGGTGGGGAAAAGGGGGACATCTGTAATACTTTCAACAATAAAGATAAATTTAAAAAAAGAGTTTCTTTGTATATCTTGAAATTCTTTATTGAATAAGTGTTTTGCAGACTTTTTATCCTAGTATGTGGCTTGTCTTTTTGTTCTGTTAACTGCTTTTCACAGAAGAGTAGTTTTATTTTTTTTAATTTAATAAAGTCATACTTACCAATTTTTTCTTTCATGGATCATGTTTTTGGTGTTGTACCTGAGAACTCATTGCCAAACCCAACATTTCTTAATTTTCTCTTACATTTTTTAGAAGTTTTGTGGTTTTACATTTTACATTTAGATCTATGAGCCACCTGTTGCAAACTCTATCCTTTCTTCACAATTCAGCTTTAGCTCCTTCGTCAAAGATCATTGACTTTACTTGTGTGGATCTATTTTTAGGCTCCGTGTTGTGTTCCACTGATCTATGAATCTGTTCTTTCATTAATACAGTACTGTGCTGTCTCGATTAAAGGATCTTCAGAATACGTCTTAAAATGGCTTGTGTGAGTCCTGCCACTTTGTTCTTTTCTAGCACTGTGTTGGCTATTCCAGGATTTTTGTCTTCATATAAATTTTAGAATTACTTCATTGATGTCTACAAAATCCCTCTTTTACTTTTTTTTTTAAAAAAAATATGTCTTTACTGATTTCAGAGAGAAGAAGGGAGAGGGAGAGAGAGAGAGAGAAACATCAATGATGAGAGAGTCACTGGTCGGCTGCCTCCTGCACGCCCCCTTCTGGGGATGAGCCCGAAACCCGGGCATGTGCTTTGACCAGGAATCGAACCTCCATCTCCTGGATCATAGTGTTACCAGGAAACCCGGGGGGTTAAGGCTGCCTGTCGCTGTGTCCAATTCAACGGAGGCAGGGTTGAATCATGAAAGGTGTTTACTGAGCCGGCCAATCAAGAAGACAAGGAGCATAGGAGCATCCAAAACCTGTCTTAAGTAGTGGCCTGAGGGATGGGGTTTTATAGGGAAATGGGGTAAACTGAGGCTGGCAACGGAATGCAGCTACGTGTAGTCCCGGGGTTCCGCAGATGTCATCCTTTGTTTTTGATCATCTGGCGATGTCTCGTTAAGACGATATCTTGACTCCGGCTGGGCGGGCCTGACCATGCCTGTTCAATGACACATTGTCCACAGCTGCTCGCCTCCTTAATTTCTTCATCTGGGATCAAGGGGAGTGTACGGGCGCTAAGGCCTAGAAGAAAGAAACTTAAGGAAAAGGAAACTTAAACCCCTGTTCACATGAGTATATGTGTTCTATAACTTATAAGTAAAATAATTATATTTCAGATTAATTCAAGTGCTCAATCTCTGAAAATTATAAGTGCCCCTATCAATAGGTCAATGCTTAACAGCTGAGCCACACAGGCCAGGCCCTCTTTCACTTTTAAGGACTTTTGTGATTATGCTGAGCCCACAGGATAATGCTGGATGATCTCCCTATTCTAAGGTTAGTTGATTAGCAACCTTAATTTTATCTGAAAAGTCTTTTTCCAATTAAGGTTATAATACTGTAAACATTATAATATTGTAAATTCTTATATATTCTTGCATCTATATTCTCGAGTCTCTTACATTAATTTCTTTGTTGTGTCACATGCTTCTTACATGTTAAATATTGTGGTTTTATAATACTTTTGCATATTAGAAATATTATGTCTAATTCTTGACTACTCTTGTGACAGGCACCTTTCACAGACACCAGAGAGGTGTTATCGGACAGCCCCCGAGTCAATTGGGAGAGGGCTGTTTCTAACCTTGGTTCTTATTTTCTCACATAAATGATTTTATATGAGAAACTTTGATTGCATTGTGATGAAATGAGTTTATTAAAAAAATTAAAGCAAATGAATTAAAAAAAAATAAAGCATACACAGTTATCAATGAAACAAGGCAAGCAAATGTATGCATCTGGCTTATTAAGCACAGACGGGCTCTCAGCTAATCTGAAGAGCAAGTGGGATGGGAGGTTTCTGCCTTATATACCCATTTGTCTATAAGTTTTTAAAAATTCCTCTGCCAGATATCCTGGTACAAGTTGACTCTTTGTTATGGCTTTCCCACAATTTATGAGAAATACCTAGTAACTTTATCTTGACAAACACAAGACCACTGACTTAACTGTCTAAACAATGGGCACTCTTCTCTTCCCCTTCCACCTGCTGTTTTAACAGCTTCTGGATGATTAGCACTAAGTAGCCTCTCTGATTAGTTTGAATTAAGATTCCTCCTCTCCTGCCTTCTTTTGTGAGGAGAGCTTGTAACCCTTTGTTCTCAAGATAAGGCCCTGCTACAAGCAGCCTGCAAAGCTTTTTGGCTTTGTTTAATTTTCCTGCCTCAGTTTCCCCATTCCTCCTGCCCTGAAACTTTCCTAGCCTCTTACTATCCTATAACACTCTTATCTGGTTTGCTTCTAGAAATATTTTGAAAATTATTTTGTTAAGTCAAAAAACTTACATAAAGTTTGTTGGAATTTATGTGTTGAATGATATTGAGTTTTTTCATCCAATAACACAGTGTGTATTTCAATTTATTCGTCTTTTTTTCCTTTTGTAGAGTAGTATAGCTTGTCACAACACACTTCTGATTCATATTATTCTTATTGTATCTTATTGTTCATCTGAATAGGCTGTGTTTTTATTTTATACTTTAACCAGTAATCGATTTATAAAGAAGGTATTTGCTTTATTTGCTTATTTTGTAACTAATCACTGTACTGAATTACTTGATTTTGCTTTTTAAAATTCTACTTTGTAAGTCATCTTAAAGTAAAATTGATTTTGGTTTCTTTCAGTATGCAGTTTTATGAATTTTAACACATGTGTGAATTCATGTAACCACAACCAACTACAGAATGGTTTCATAATGCCCCCAAACTCCTTCATGCTCTTTCTTTCTAAATAATCTTTTATTTCTATTATTTTTCTGTCAGTTCTCTTGTCTTTTCCATGATAATTCTGGTAATAATTATCTACATTTACCTTTTGTTTTAAATCAGGGCAAATACTTTAGAATTTTAGGTTTATCAAATCTTTGTGTGTGTTGCTGCCTTTTTAAAACTCATGTCCTTTCTTTCTCTTTAACACATGAGAATTTTTAAAAATCTTAAAAACAAAGTCGCTTGTTTTATTATTCCAGAGCCATAAAGGAAAGCAATCAACCGGGAAGGATTTTCTTGGGCCCCACTGCCAGTCCCGTGGGGAGCGTAGAGTAGGTGTGGCACTTGTGAGGAGTTCGAGTCACTGAGCTATTTGGGAAGAAAGTTGATTTTGGAGAGCAAGCCACAGATAAATGATTGGGCTTCAAGTAAATATGGCAAGGTTCTCAGTTACGGTTTTAGGTTGAGAATCCATATCTAATATCTTCCTGGATTATGTGTCAGGGGCACTTTAAAAAATAATGGTCATAACTATAATTACCTCTGCTATTCTACCATATTTTATTCATCAGTTTCTCTGTCCCAGGCATTGAGGCCCAATGCTTTACATTTATTTGTATAATTTAATTCTTACACCATCCCTCTAGGGTAATTGCATAGTAACTGTCTTTACTTCTTCCAATTACTTCGGGCTTTCCAACGTGCCATTGCCCGGATTTCACCTACCTGTGGCAGCAGCTATCATATCTGTTAGCCTGTACTAATTTTTAATGTCCTGTGAGAAAGTTTAATGCTTGACTCTTCCTGTACATGATTCTTTGAGTAAGCAAGAGTTTGCTGGTGCCAAAGCACCTTTGCCTAAAAGGGTATCTTTGGGACACAGAACACTGGGGCAGAATGGCAATATTTCCATACTCAAAGGAGCAATTTTTTTGCTTCTTAAATGCTTCTTTTTTTTGTTGTTTGTTATTTCCATATTCAAAGGAGCAATTTTTTCCTGCTTAAATAGATTGGTTGCCTCTCACATACATCCTGACCAGGACCTGGGATGGAATCTGCAATCCAGTTACATGCCCTTGACCAGTATACAGGCCGATGCTCTAACCACTGTGACACACAGGCCAGTGCTCCTTAAATGCTTCTTAAATGATTTCTCAAAGCTCTCCTTCTCCTAGGCCAGTGCCAGTTGTGCTCTTTCTGTAATCAACACTGTTTCAACATGAATGTGTATCTTCACTTTAAATAGCAAAGACACATCTCACGGTTCTTTTTGCAACTCTGGGAAAAGTAGTTAAACATTTTA